CGCCACCACCACCTCCCGCCCGGCTCCGTGCATCGCCCCCCTAAACCCCGACGCCACCGGCGAGAGGGAGCAAAAGTGCAGCCTGATGCGGTCCAGGGAGAAGGGGCGGTGGCGTCCGAGGCAGGGGCAGAGCCGAAGAGCGCTGTGGAGGCTGGCGGGGCGGCGCTCACCTAGTCGTCTGGGGCTCCGCCGCCGAAGAGAGGACAGCCCATATGCATGGCGATCACCTGGCCCTCCCTCTTAGGGCGGGCCTCCCTCTACCGCCCACCACAACTTCCCGCCCCGACTCGGAAAATCCCGCGAGATCGGGCTTCCGAACTGTCATCGGGATCTCGCGAGAACAAAATCTTGGTTTACAGGGGCGGAGCCACTCTCCTGCGCTCTTTTCTCCCCGGAGAGCTGGAACACAAAAGTTCGCGATAGTTGGAAATGTCGCGAGGTTAGATACCGCTCGCTCACGTGGTGCAGGACCTGCTGCTCCGGGAGCCTGGGAGAGGCTCGCGGGCTCTGTCCTGCTGTGGTCCTTTAAGGGCGGGTAAGAAGGGTGGCGGCCGGGCAGCGGATGGTCGTCCCCAGGACCTGCTGATATTTGGCGTTTGGTTTCCTTGTTCCAGCTGCAAACCCAGGAGCTCTAGGAGGCGAGCGCTTCCTTCCCGGGTGCTGCTGCAGCCCCGTGGGACGCCCACGCCCCGGGACCCCCGCGGGAGGCCGAGTGAACTTAGCGCGTTTTTCTTGTCAGACACTAAGATACAGCAAGTCATAAAAATCCTAATGAGAGTACAAAACCAGCAGCACGTGCCACACATAGAAGGCAGAGGTAAAAATGCCATGAAAATCTAGTGTTTGCGTGTGTAGCTCGAGTTGCCAGTGGTTGTAGGGCACAGCACGTCTAGCCTGTTTTTTAAAGCATCTCCAGGGCAGCCTTCCGCCCATCAGTCAGTCAAACGGGAACTGCGCACCTGACACCGTTCCAGACCGAATGCATTCGGGTTAACGCAGAAAGGCTCCCTTCACTCGTTGGGATGCTTCTGTAAACTGTAGAGTAGTTTGTTGAACTGGGCTAGCCTGAGTGGACCTGTATTCGTTTCCTGAGGCTGCTGCACAAGTCACCACAGACTTAAACAGCACAGAAGTGTAGCCTTATAGAATATAGACAACACAGATTTATCATCTTACAGGTCGGCACGGTAGAAGTCTTACGCGGGCCCTATTAGGCCAGCTCATTCTTTGGAGATTCCAAGGAAACGCCCTTTTCCAGCTTCTAAAGTCTAGACATCATTGGCTCCTGGTCCCTTCCTCTGGCCTCAGAGCCAGCGATGTTGCATCCTCTGGCCCTTCCTTCCGCAGCTAGGAAAGATTCTTTGATTTTTAAGGGCTCGTATAAGATCGGATCCACCTGAACAATCCAGGATAATTCTCCCACTTCAAGGACTGTACCCTTAATCACGTTAACAAAGTCTCTTTCCAATGAAGAGTAACATTCATGGGCTTCTAAGATGAGGATGCGAACATCTTTTGAGGGTGGGAGGTGGGGATTAGTATATTCTGCCTCCCACAGGGTCCTAATGAGGAAAACTGTATGGCTCTTTGCTCCATCAGTATCAGCTTTCATAAAATTTACTAGCAGATAAAAACTTCATATCTCAGAGAAACATCTAACTCACCCACTAATTATGTGTAAGGTGTTCACTTTCACACATCATTAAGAAGTTTATAAAGCCTCACTGCTTCAGTGTCCTGACCCATGACAGCCAAGAGGCTAATAATAGTAATCTACCTAAAAAGGTTTATTGTAAGAAATAAATATACCTAAAATAGTACCTGGTTATAGTAAGGAATATATGCATTGCTATTACCATTGTTATCAATGGAAAGTTGTATTCTGCATAGGCTTTGCTTCAGTTTAGTATTTTTGGCTAATAGTTAGTACTAACATTCTAACTTAGATTAGACTTTTGGACTAGATTCTAATTTAAAACACCATAGATTGTAAGGCATATTATTTAGGTACAGCTTTTAAAGTGGTGGGGGGGGGGGTTGGAACCTACTGATTATAATTGTAATTCTTGATTTTAATATGCACCCTAATATTGGAAATTTTTAAATGTAGGAAAAATATCTGCTTCTTGCAATTGATGAAATATCTATTTTTCTTAAACCCTTCTCACATTGTTTCTAAAACCAATGGTAAAGGGAAATTTTAATCAAGCTTACTTTTTTCTACAACTACCAGAGAAGTTTGATTTATTTTATCCCACTGAAATGACTAGTTGTGTAACATAGTCTTATTTTTCTGGAGGTCCACTGATTTATGATGTTGATCCTTAAAAAGTTGACCTCTAAGTAGAAGTCAAGACAAATTTAGAAGTAAAATTTAATTTAAATGAAAGAAATCATCTAGTGGAAGGAATACCCTTTTGACTTACAGAAGAGGAGGAGGCTTCATTTTTCTGAGTATTTATCATTTAACATCACCACCGTGGCTATGATGCATAGTGAAGCATCATGACATAAAAGTATGTTTTAGTGAATTAGATGCCTCACAAATTAGACATCCTCAAACATTCTCCCCTATTACGTCCCCCCTCCTGCTCTCCTACTTAACAGTGGCTTTAATCTGGGCCCATAGCAAGAACATGCTTGTTTAGGTGCTGATGTTGTAAACATCCAACACTATGATGCTAGTCACCGCAAAATGAAATTGAGTCTTACAAAATATTCAGGAATTCCTGAGATCAATATAAGTAATGTTGAATAACTAAATCACGTGCAAAGTCATTGGCACAGAAGGATCTAGAAAAAATAAGCCTATTAAAACTACAAAAAGGGGGAAAAACAGATGATGATAGCATAGGGAAGGAAAGGAATAAGAGATGAGTAAGGACAAGGTAGAAATGGTAAAAATAGAAGTGTCGCCTTAACTGGTTTGGCTCAGTGGATAGAGCATCGGCCTGCGGACTGAAAGGTCCCAGGTTCGATTCCGGTCAAGGGCATGTACCTTGGTTGCAGGCACATCCCCAGTAGGAGGTGTGCAGGAGGCAGCTGATCGATGTTTCTCTCCCATCGATGTTTCTAACTTTCTATCCCTCTCCCTTCCTCTCTGTAAAAAAAATCAATAAAATATATTTTTTTTAAAAAATAGAAATGTCCTTTTATTACAATAAGTAATCTAAACCTTGAAGTTTAAAAGTCAAGGTTGCACAAGAATGAATATACTTAACATTACTGAATGGTACACTTAAAAATGGTTAAGATTGTAAATTTTATGTTGTTTTTTAACTAAAATTAAAACAACTCTGGTCAACAAAAGGACAATTTGAGGCTTAAGCCAGGTATAGTGAAAGATAGATAGTCAATGACAAGTTAGTGTTAGGTATATGATGAGTATTATTACATCTTGAACCTTCACCAATGCTGTTTTTACTTCAGACTCTCATCCAGTACTCTAATTTAGAGGTGATAAAATAGTTTGAGAAATAGGGGTTTACCAGGGTCACAAAATCAGAACTAGAACATGATTCCTGATTCTAATTCTAATATGGGTGTATAAAAATATTTCACAGAAGATAGTTTTAAATTTGAAAAATTAAAATCTGTGATTCTGTTTCATATACTATTTCATATCTCACATCAGGTAATAAGCCTAAAAGTCCTTCAGCAAAACACCCAAGAACTTCAGGTTGAAATGCTTTTAGGAAAATACTCAAAATGCAAAAAAGTATGTAAAATACTCAGAGACCAAACATAGAGAAGGAGCTGAAAACTAACTTATTAAGCTGGCACTTATGTCACTGCTGTCCCGGAGGCATTTGCCTATCTCAGGTACCAAAAGCTCCAAGTTTTAACAGTCTTGTGGGGACAGAAGACATGGTCTTAAGCTCTCATAAGGTCCCAAGTTGGAACTGAGATTCTCATTTGATATCAGAAACCTGGAAAGGTATAAGTTAAAGAAAATGTAATCAAACCAAGGCAGGAAAGGAGAAAAATAAAGCAAAAAACATGATTAATAGAAAGCACAAATTAGTAACGATCTATATATTTATGCAAAAGCAATAAATGTATTAAGCAGATTAATTTTCTTGGTATAGGTTCTCTCAGATCGGATAAAAACTAAATACAGCTGTATGTTATTATAAGATATACACCTGAAAAATAAAGGCAATAAAGGTTGAAAGTAAAACAAAAAGATATAATGGAAAAATAGTAAAGAAAAAAATACTTAGCTCAAAATATTAATACCAGACAAAACAAGCTTTAATGTAAAAAGCCTCAAGGATAAAGAAATTAACCACATAAATGTAAAAGGCACCTCCTGCTCCTGAGGGGTGATCAGGGCCGGCAGCCACCACTCACAGCCGCTGCCAGCGCCAGAGCTGCTGCTCGTACCCACTACCGGTGCCTGGCACCGGTCCTGATAGCTCGGTGCCGTCAGCGGGTGTGAGCGGCAGCTGCCAGCCCCGATCGCCCCTGAGGGCTTCTTCACCTCCCCCTGCTCCTGAGGGGCAATCAGGACAGCAGCTGCCGCTCGCACCCGCTGCTGGTGCTGACCCCAATTGCTCTGCACCGTCAGCGGGTGCGAACAGGACCAGCACTGTCAGCACATGAGAGCAGCGGGAGCGGGGCTGCGGCAAGAGGGGTTGGGCGGGGGCACGGAGGATGGGCCAAGACCCGCCCCTGTGCCCACCGCAGCCTCACTGCCCACAGTTCTTTCAAGATGCACGAATTCATGCACTGGGCCCCTAGTTATATATGTAATCGCTGGTGCCAATCGCATGCATGTGTTTCGATCTGTCATTGTCGATCATGAATTAGGTTGATACTTTATTATAGAGAAAGGGCAAATAGTGATATTAAAATATTTCTTATAATTAATTTCCTTTCAATGTGCATGAGTCCGTGCACCGGGCCACTAGTAAAAAATAATAAAATACTTAGGAATTAACTTAACCAAGGAGATGAAATTCTCGTA